GAGCTTGGCGGGAGTCCAGGCCACACAATGGTCATAGGGACATTTGACACTCAACTAACATGAGGCCGCATGGCAGGCGCGGAGGGGAAATAAAGCCATTGCAGCCACCCTCGGGGACAATGGGCACGTGTTTGCACACTTAGTTATAGAAGCTCGTGCTACCTCCAGAGCAGAGAGCTTCTGTCAGTTCTAACCGATTTCTGGGGGAAATCCTCAGGCAGGATTTTCTTTTCAATATGAGTGGTTTAGTAAGCGGGCCTGGGCAGTGAGGCGGGCAGGAACGACCGGCATAAAATGGCTCCTCTTCAGGGACGTAGTGCTTTGGCGTCTCATAGCCCACAGCAGCTACTGCGTGTAGGATGTTTCTCGGATGCTTCTGTGGTAAAATACATAGGGAAACAGCTAGTCCAGCCGAGGCCTGAGAAAATGAGGGTAGCTCTTCAAGTCACCACATGGTCAGGACTAACATTTGAGCAGAGGTGGTGGTTTGGCGATGTTTCCTGTCGGGATGGTGTGAGGTACATGTTGCCACCCCCAATTCTCCTTCCTTGTAAGAGTCACAGAAGAGTCACATCGTGTTGTGGAGATTCCCGAGGCCTGGACGGTGGATGCCGTGTTAGACGCCACTGGTTATGGCTGCGCTTATTGGGGCTCCTGCTGAGGCAAAGCACAGGTTTGGTTTTGGTGCCATCGTTTAAAAAAGTGTGTCTGTCACCATAGCTTGTTTTGACTCCTAAAGACAAATGCTCCATTAGTAAGCTGAGCAGATTGCTTCTGGGTGATGCCCCCGGCAGGCGCCGCAGCTCAGGGCTCCGAGCCCGGGCTCTGGAATCAGGCCTGTCGGAGCCGCGGCCCGGTCCGCCCCGGCTGCCGGCCTCTGGGCCACCTGCTTCACTTCTGTAAGTCGCTCCCTTGGGTGTTCCGTCAGCTTCCTTAGTTGTCAGGTGGGGTTGTCTGGGGGATTCAGTGAAATCATTTCTGTATATCAGGGTGAACGCTAAGCTTTGGAAACAAAGAGACCCTCAAAATACCGACCCTCAAATAAGAACCGTTTACTTCCTTCTCGCCTGAGCCTCACCAGGTCGCTGAGGGGCCCGGGTCCTTCCATCTTCCCCTGGGTCACCTGCCCGCCGTCCACACTTGGGGTCCCACCAGGGAGGCGGAAGAGCCCATGTCGGGAAAGTGGCTTGTGTCTGACCTTGGAGAAGCTCAGGGGAGGAAGGTGGCGCTGGCAGCTGCGCAGTGAGGTTTGGCCAGCGCTGGCGTCCAGGGCGGTGACCAGCTCGGAGGCCAGCGCATTATTTGCGGCACAAAGACCACGTCCGGATCAGAAGCTGCAGGGCTGGTCGGGGGCGGGTGGGTGTGCCGGAGAGCAGGCGAGGGCGCTGCTGGGACCTGGACGGGGGCGGCGTGGGGGGAGGGGCCCCGGGCGGCCCAGGTCAGCTCCTGGTGCTGTAGTGCTGGGGGCCCCCCCGGCCTAGTCAGAGTCCCTGGGCTTCCTCCCGAGACGGGAGGCTGCTGCTGGTCGGGAGAGAAAGCGCGTCCTGCTCCGTGAAGTTTAAGCGTTAGATGCAAACCAGGGGTCAGCCTGTCTCCTCGCAAGACGCGCCCGTCTCCCTTTGGCTTTTTCTGACGGCCCTGGCCTGAGGACAGCCTCAGATCTCCTGTCCCAAGCAGTCCGGCCTGGGACCCACAGTGCCTCTGGGGGCCGCCTGGGGTCTGAGCCGTGGTGGCCTCAGCTCGGTGGGGCGTGGGCCCAGCACCCTCCAGTCGACTGGGTTCTAGTGGTCTGTGTCAGACTCGCTTCAGGGACCCTCAGCAATTAGCCTAATTACACCCCCCTTTTGCCTCTTTCTCCTGTTTCTAGCAACAATTAAACATGCAACCTTTCAGATTGGTTCTCAGCTCGTCTACAAACGAAACCCCAATCGCAGCCTGCTATCAGCCCCTGAATTATTAATTCCTCACTTAACATAAAACAAATGCCTACGGGGAACGAAGTATTGCAAGAATATTTATTTTGAGTGACTCAACTATACACTTCCTGTTCAGTGTTAAGGAAAATTGGTCTTTATTATTCCAGGAAAATGTCAAGATCGCTAAGTTTCACAGCATTTTGACCTGTGTTAGGCTGAACACACTCTCCACGTGTTTCTCATAAAAACACACATCAGAGGTGGCTTCAAACTGAACGTCAAACTTAGTTAAAGGTACAGACCTCTTCAAAGCTGGGGTGAATCGCGGCTGTAACAGTGAAATGTGCGTGGCCTGGCTGCGTTTCTCCCCGGGGCCGCCCCACGCTGATGGGCTTAGCAACTTGGGGCGTGTTTTTCTAAGATCTGGCAGGGAGGCCTCTGCTCCCATCAGAATGACCCCTGCTGGCTGCGGGGTTGGGCTCTGCAGAAACCCCCTCTCCTCCAATTTTAAAAAATGTGTATGAGCACTTATAAAAACACATTTAAAAATATTAATGTCCTGCATCTTGCTTGACCTGTGCAATGAGGATGTGTGTGTGTGTGTGTGTGTGTGTGTATGCAAAAGCGCATCAAACTGTACCCTCTTCTGTATGAATATATACTTTCACATTCCACGGAATGTCAGCTAGAATAATTTAAGTGCCTCCTTGTGAGAGGGGGACAAGGGCCATTGGTCTGCAGGCCACTTTGTAGGTGCTTAATAGTCTTAGTTCTGGAACGTACTGAACCCTAAGGGCACTGTTCTGGGTTGGTTCCCGGTGTCTGTTGGTGGGACCCTAAGAAAAAGCAGCGTTTGGCGAAGGGATAATGCACAGATCCTGCTTTTCTTGTCAGGGGCAGGGGGTGGGGGAGGGCTGGGTCACGCGTTTCATGTGCATTAACTGTGCAGTGATTCCTGCACTCTTCGGTAATAGAGGTAATTATTAAACTCCAAAATGGAGTTTGTTTCTTCTTTTAAAATCTCCAAAGTTTCAATGGTACTGAAGGAGGCTAATTTCTAGAACATACGAGATGCACTTTTTAGGGTTAAATTCCAGAAAGTAGAAAGGCTTTGTTTCTGCGTCTTTGTTGTTGGTAGTGAGTGGTGACTCGATGCCTGATTTTCTCTGATCTTTCCTTTTTGAAGCAAATCCTAGGGGTCACCCTGGCTGAGAGACAGTGTGGGGCTGTGGTTAAGAACGTGGATCCTGGCGCCACCCTGGCAGCCCGGGTTCAAACCCTTGCCTCCACTAAGCAGCGTGCCGCTTTGGGCAGGACGCTGTAAGGTGAGGAGAGTGACAGCCCCGAGCTGTTCTGAGCACCAGCTGAGTTAAGCCCTCGGGAAAGCCGCTGGCACAGTGAGCTCTGCACACGCGTCAGACATGCGAGGTTTTCTACCTTCACGTATACCAGCGAGTGACATAGAATGCGGCATTTTGTGTGTAGAGAAATGACACACAGATTGAGTTTAATGCTTCAAGTGGATTAAAGTGGTTCCTAAGGACAGTGGATCATTCTAGAAAATATCCAGACATGGGAAAGTATCTATTAGTATTGCATTCTTTGGACTCCATTGCTATTCACGCATCTTAACTTCTGAGGCGCTTCAGTTCCCAAAAGAATGAAGACAGCATAAAGACAACATATAGAAGTGATCAGGCTGGGCATATCAATATTTATTGGAATACTGAAAAAGAAAATCCATTTTGTTGAGAAATTCCTGGCAAGAACGGACATGACAATATGTATTTCACTGGTACAGTAAGAAAATGCCAACAAGTAACCGACTTCACACTCTAAACATTGCGTGGATTCAGGTCCAAGGTTGCTGGAGAAGATCCGTACTAGAAATATTCAGACATTACAGATGGTCTGTTTACAGACATAGACCCACTGTAGTGGGCCGGACAAGCCCAGACCCTTCCTGTGGGAGCCTGCTTTTCCCGAGGAGTCCTGCCATGGGTAAGGCAGTTGCTAAGTACACATCTGCTTACCAACCGGTTAACCGTGAGCCCTGGAGAAGGTTTCTCTGCCCGCCTGGATGGGCCAGACACACTGGCGGTGGTGCGTGCTTGTGTCAGCTCTGTCCTGGTGTCACCAGCAAGCGGTGTGCATGGGACTCTGCATGGTCCTCACCTTTCTAACTGTTCTCATGGTCATTCACTAGGTGAACAACATACCAACATTTGACATGTTTTCGGTTTCGTATTCATTGGGGAGTACTGTATATTTAAACTAAGAAAGATAGTGTATTTTTTTTTTTGGCAATGTTAAAGAAGCTTCCAATGACTACCCCCCAGCTCTCACAGTCGCCCCCACTGGTGTCCCACATACACGATGGAACCATGTCACTGACTGCTGACAGCCCCGACCCTCGGCACGTGTTTCTAGCCAACTCGGTCTTGGACTGGAAGAACCGTGATGCTGTCGCCCTACTCAGTGCTCTGGAGATGGGCTGTGTGCAGCTGTGGTGTTGTCCTGTGAGCCATGAAGACAACACAGATGACCGACACTCTGCCGAGCTAAGTGTGCCCTTCCCGTGGACGAGTGTTAGAGGTGATTCATAAAAGCAAGAGTCCTTCGTGCACAGAAGGAATAGCTAAGATCTTTGGTACACAATTTACAGTGCTCGGGAAGGAAAACCAGGTAAGTCCACCCTTGTTAAATCCATTTGAAAACAGAGGAAGCTACAAGTCACATAATTTACAATAGATATTAAATAAACTACAGAGAGAATTAGGAAGATTTACAGACATTTAATCAAGTGACTGATTTTACTTCATGAAGACCCTTCTCTGTTCCTGAACTATGTTTCACTAACTCGAAGACATGCTACAGTAAACACATATATTTGGTTTCTTCAGTCTTGGCTACATCTTATACAGAGGTGAAACCAAGGAACAATAAATTAGCATCATAATTGTCTACACTTGAAACTATGATATACAATATAAATAAACTATTCAAAAGCCAGACACATTTATGAAAAAATTAAGGGACTAGGAGATACTTTTATTTTCTTTACAGTTTCTACAAGTGATTGTGCCGCCGATAATCTCAAAAAAATTAAAGTCTAAATGAGATTCCTGTTTCTGATTTTAGTGTCTCACGACATACAATAATTAAGGACTGTTAAAAATAATTACCAATCAGAAAAATAACATTAAGGAAATTACCGCTTTAGCTATTTTGTCATGTCCCAGTCCCCCCCACCCCCCACAGGACCTAAAGAATGTAAACACTATATTTTATTTGACTTGAAAGCATTAATACTTTATTTTAAACAAATGTTGATCCACATGTGCACAGCTACCTTTCAGAGTTGTGAAATAAGGCAAGACCCCTACCTGTGCCGTCGCTCGCTGCTAACACTGGTAGTGATGTCTGGGGAGCTCTTTGGCAGCTCTCTGCCCTCCAGTGTTTGTTCTATAGCAGACTTTGGTCTGTGACTTAGAAAGGTCAGTGTCACCCTCTTCCGCTCCCTTTTGGGGAAGATCTGCACTCCTCTACTATCCTTCCAGGCCATATGTAAAAATCACTGTCTCCATTCTGCGTCAGGGGCTGTCTGACGGCAGCCAGCGCGAACCTTGAGCCAGCTTCTCAGCTCATCCTGTCTTTTGTTTGCATTGCTTAACATGCTTCAATTTAGTTTAAAACTGCTTAGAATGGTGACTGTGTGACATCCCAGCAAAAGACGTTGTGGGTTTTATCTTTAAATGAGCTACAAACTTGGATGGGTAAAATCACCGATGTACCTACCAAGCCTTTCGGCCAGAAATTTTTGTGAATTCCAGCAATGCCAAAGCCACGTTTCAGTAACGGGAGCAGACGTGAGGTCCAGCTTGCTTTGGCTGTGGCGCGTGTGCTGTAAAGGTTTGCAGCCATTCCCCTTAGTGTGAATGGATGCTTATATATAAGGTCAGAAGAGGGACACTGCCTGCTTTTTCTTAATGTTATGAACACAGGACAAAACATACCAGGACATATTTAAAATGGCAAGCTAACATATTAAGAGACTGTTCCTATTAGCTGTTTGCAGGTCTAAGACAAGGACACTCAAATTAAGCTTTTCCTGATTTGGTGGAGCTGCTAGTGGGTGTGGCTGAGCGTGAGCCTCAGCACAGAGTCCAAGGCCAGGCAGGAAGGAGGGGTACTGCCTGGCCGCCGCGGCTGGGCCGGTGACAACTGCGGAGTTCAGCTCCCCCAAAGGGGGATCTGTGCGCTCAGACCCTGCTGCAGAAGCCTGTCTACAGCACAGATCGGTCCCTAAACGCCTTCACAGCGGAGATCAGCTTAAATGTACAGGGACTGCTGTGTCCGTCTGTGTCCTGATGCGGTGTTGCCTCCACCTGGGAGCTGAGTCCACTCCGTGTCTCTGATTGGACTCCTTTGGGGGCTTTGATTCACAGTTTGCAATACAAATACCCTGATACATCATTTATTTGCTATTAAGTATTTGATTATTATGCCTTTCTAAATCCAATCTGTTTAAACCAAGTTTTTAATTAGTGTGGCTTGGAGCAGTTCAGAGTAGCTTTCCCCTCTCTCTCTTCCCGTTCTCCCCCGCCGTCTGATCGTTTGGCCCGCGGAGCCCCCGGGGCCGCAGCTCAGGCCCGTTTTGCGTGCAGCATCTCAATGAGGAGGTTGTTGTAGGGCACGTCCCCATTCAGGTGCTTGCAGTACAGGTACTCTTCCGCCTGCAGGCTGATGGCACGGATTTCCGGCAGCCGCAGCAGCAGCTGCCCGAACTTCTCCGTCTGCTGCGGGTAGTTGCACACGGTGTAGTCCAGCAGAGCGGCGTTCACCTGCTCCTGCACCCCTTCCACCAGCTGGAAGTTCTCGAGGTTTTTCACATCTGGATTTCAGAAAAAAACAAACAGGCACAACATCTCAATGGCGTTTAATTCATGTTTACTGCCGCCATGGGTTCAGCTCACGGGGCATTTTCCTCCTGCCCAAAAGCATCCTGTCTAAGCTCCCGGGCACCGGGTGAGCTTCCGGGGCAAACACACACACAAGGGCTCGGGAAGAAGGCCTTGTTGAAATTCTGCATACACCGCACATCAATTAGACACCAATGGATTTCAAGCAAGGTCAACTCTTTTCATATCTCACAAAAGGAAAGGTCTGAGGGCTCGGGAAGTGGAGGGATCATCATGTACTGCCAGCAAATGAGTCCCTGGAGGGAGACCTATCTTAACCCAGTATATCGCACAATTCATATAATTCTGTATTAATTTTTCTGACCCAAGGTGAAATCTCTGTCCAGGGTCTGATGTAGTTAATTCTAATAAAAAGTGACAGGGTTCTTGTTTCTGTTTGACATTTTCTAAGTGATTCTGAAAGCCTCAGACTTGCCGAGCCCATGCTAATGAGCCATCTGGCACACTCCAGTGGCTGCCATGGGATGCTCACTGCTGGGGACACGCTAAAATATATATCTCGGTGACTAATGATTGTCATCAAACGAAAGCCTGTCCTTTAGGCGGAATACCAGCCAGGGTGGCCGGTGCCCTTTAACCCAAGAGTGGTATCTGTGCTTTGCTTTTCTGTCTCGTCCTGGGTCACTCGGACAGACGGCGGGCACAGGCCGTCCATCCCGCCCCACTTCTGGGGACCATCCAGTTGTAAGGCATCTGCCCTAGGGGTCCGTGTAAATACTGAACGAGAGGGAGACGGGGGGTCCAAGAAGACAGACTGACAGACAGACAATCAGCAGGGAAAATGGCGATGCTGGCATTTCTCTCCTGGAGATTGTTTACGTAACAGTACAGCTTTCATCCAGTGTATTTATAGAAGCCTCTGGAAAAGTTCAGAGGTATGTGTGTGTGCACATACATGCATACTAAAGATGGGGACCAAGCTGCCACTCCCCACCCCCACTTGATTTTCTAATTGGACGAAAATGAGTAAGAATGATTCTGAAGGAAACCGCATAATACTGTGACTCAAAGGTTCAGCGCGCTAAGCTCAGCTCATAGTTACCACGGGAATTCCTGCCAATATTTTGGCCCTGGGCGCTGTAACTCTTAGCCTGTACTTAGGAGCATGTCCAGCCTGGGATCTCGGAATGCTTTGCGACAAGGTCGCTTGCGTTGCAGATGGAATGGGCTCAGGATGGTTTCCGTGCTCACGTGCTGAGCCATAAGCACGCTCTTCCTTTCATCCCCAAGTCTCGGCCCCAGATTCAAAACAGAGAGGAATTTGTACTGAAATAGATAGGTGCTGTGAGTACTGGGGGCCACGTCTGTTTCAAACTGAGATGGGAGGATCAACAATCGTTGATTATTTGTTAGTGAAACGTGACACATGCTGCACCACTAGGAATTGTGCATCTTCCTGTGGCCTTGACACTGGCAGCCAAGGTGCTATCTGCTTGGCCTATTACACACGTGGCACTTAACAGTGAAAACATTTCCCATCTATTTTGTTTCAGATACTTAAAAAGTATTATAAATGACTTTAAAGTCCCTATAGATATTAGTTACATTTGGTTCAACGTTACAACATGGAAACAGCTGTGAACACCTTTGATACGTTGTACCCGAGTCCTCCACGGAAACCGACACTGTGTCAGCCTTGTCCTCTGCCTCCTCTGCTCCTCTCACAGGCTCAGCTGGTTATGGAGGGGGCCCTGCCGCCAGCGCATTTACATGGTTCCCCTGAGTTCTGTCCCATTCCTCAGGGCTGCATCTCTTTGCCCCTCACCCAACGTAGAGAAGACAGAAGTTAGTTTCTCTTCCATATACGCCGAGGAAGTTAAAAAAAAACAAGCAACGTCTGGTGTTACAACGATTGAAACACAATTCTAGAAAAAAACTTGAACTAGAGGATTATTTTGTACTACAATGGAAGACATTCTCACCAGCAAAGCTAACAAAAGCCACAGAGATCAGGACAGAGGGTGCAGGAATTTGCAGTGGAACATATAAGATAAATGAAGCTTTTAGAAACTTTCTTTTTCTGATAAATGTATTTTTTTTTTGAGAATTAGGTTCAACCTCCTATGATAAATTATGCCACTCTGTTAAGAAAGAAAAAAACTAATAAACAGAAGCCAAAGGATAGATCTAAGTCTGGCTGATTCACTTGCTATTATTATAGAATGATCATTTCAAGTTCTCAGCATTCAGTGGATAATTTCTGTAAATACTGGTCCACACTGGCACCTTTCTCCCAAAAGCTTAAAAATATACACAGGTTCCGTCTGAAGGAAAATCAAAGGTTTCTCATACTTGGCCATATGTCCAGTTTTTCTCTAAAGTTCATCAAGGTTGAAGTCACATGACTGAATTAATCATCTTTTCTGCTGTGTCTGTGAAGTTATCAAATATAACAAAAGTGAGACCGATGCCCAAAGGCACTTACTTACTGAATGTCTATGTTGTTTCTGTGTCTATACAAGCAATTTGTAATTTGGTGGCAAAGATCCTGATATTTAAGCTATTAGGGGGACTAAAATAAGAAAGAAAAAGGTCTAGACTGAATTCTTTTGTTTACGGACTGAGTAGTCCCTGTGCCTTCGCTGTGCCGGCTGCTTTTTCAGCCGTGTGGCCGTGTCAGGGCACTTTGCCCTGTTTTAGTCACCGTCCGTTTCCTAGGTGGACTGTCAGCGTCTTGGGTGAGGGCTGTGCATTTCTCTCGGGAGTACTTCCATGAATGCTTGCCTTATGTTACTGGTGTGTTTGTCCAAGATCGATGGACATGTGGGATGACCTCTCACACTAACAAGTATCTTACAGGCCAAGTTCCTTTTCTTTGCTGATTCGAAGCTGGCTTTCAAAAGCTGATGTATACAATAGAGCCCTGAAAGAAGTATTGGGTCGTCGGAAAAGTCATGGCACATTTTTGCAACTAAAAACATAGAAAAAATATGTCATGACTTTTCCAACAACCCAATATTTTAATGCCACAGGGTATTTTCTTTAAGGAACCCTGCGGTGAATTCCTTGGTGAGCTGAATGTACAGGCTCGGTTTACATGTTTACATGAGGGCTTTCCCTGGTCGGTTCGCTTTAAGGGAAAGGTGCCCCCATTCACATCCGAATTTGGGTCCCTGGTCCCCGAGAACCTTGGTTTTCCCACCATGGTGAGACGGTTCACAGGCTCTAGGCGTGGAGAGGGTAACGTGCAAAACACGATGAGCGCCTGTGGGAGACGTGGAATTTTCCCTTTTCTGTAGTTCACTTGTGTTCAGTTTTTAGAGAGAGTCCAGAAGTTTAAGAGTGCTCCCACAATTCTCATGGAATCGGTTTTCCTGTCAGTTCCCAGCCTTTCATGAGCATTTAATCGTGAGATCCATTTCCACCCTTAGCCATGCTCTCTGGGCGTCCCTCCTCCCAGCTGACGCCTTTCTGCGAAAACGGGTGGGAGCTGGCGGAGCAGGAGGCTGTGACGCCAGAAATTCATGAATGAACCGACATTAAATTATATGAGAAAACAAAATTGGGACAAATGTTCTGGAATCCTCAGGAATAGATGTTTTTGAGATTTGCCGTCCGGTTCCCATATTAAATAGCAATGGATCACATTTGGATTTCAGAAAAAGTCCCAGATGCGGGGGCAGAGATTGACATGAGACCCCCCCACCCCAGTTCTCCTGTGGCATTTTGTGCTGCATCTCAGAGTCTCCTGCGGTTGGCAGTGTATGCTCCTTTGAAATCCACGTAAGCTTCATTTGAATACAATTTAAAAACGCAAGCTAATGAACCCTATCATTACAAATTCTGGGGTGAAAATGGTGTATAAACAGACAGAGGCATTTTCTCAGCCCTTTCTCGATAGCCTTTAAATTTTGATGACTGGCAAAACATTTTGTGCTTCTCCGCTAAGTATCAATCTCTTATCATCTATTCTACTTTATTCACTCAGGGACTAATTACCAACTTTTGATATGAAGCTGCATTATGATAAGCTCGCAGTGGGGTGCTCAGATTTGCTTCCCTCCTTATTGGAGAGTAAACCCTTAGGTCTTCTTGAATATATTACGGCGCCGGCTTTCTAGTCACACACAGCACTCAGGCTCTCTCTGAAGGCAGGGGTGCTGATTTCTGCCTCCCTGGTCCCTGCCACGTGGCACAGCCTGTGGGTCCCTCATTTGGCACACTTTGGCGTGATGGGTCCTTCGCTGAACAAGGGGGCTGGGGGCTAGGAGGTGCCGTCTTCTGCTGCCAAGACGATTTTCTTTGTTAGTTTTTCACACGTGGGGGAACAAATCTCACCCTGCCCTTTAAAAGATACAAAGTGGGAAAAAAGAGGGATCATGTCGCACCAGAGAACACTTCCTTGATGTTTTTGGAGGGATGACAGTCTGTAAATTGGCACTCAGTTTATCCCCAGAAGACCCTTTCCTTTGATAGGCCAGAAAAGGAGAAAGGAAGTGAATTTTCTGTAGGAATTAATTTTGAAAATTATTTTTAAAGGGCTATATTGAAATAAAGTGTACACATAACTTTGTGAGAACTTTGAGATCAACACGCTAATTCTTTTCATATGAACAAAGTTCACTTATGGAGGGTAAGGGCTGTTTAGGGGTTAGAGATGGGAGAATGGGATTTTTGATGCTGATGGCTAAGAATTGCTATTTCCAGCAAAGCTTGAAACTCAAGGTTTTAAATTGATCACTGTTAAGTTCTTTATAAAAATACATGCCTGTGTGTGCTTATTAACCCAAGAGCTATTTTTAGCAACGAGGACATACAATTCAGTGCCTTCATATGCAAATTACTAACAAGAAAACGCGACTCTTGGCAAGAGCTGTGTGTACAAATGTGGACATGTAGCATACGTGCTGTTTATGTCCGTAGAAACAGTAATTTAAAAAACGCATGTTAGGGCGCTTTGTAAATTACAAAG